TGCTCCCAGAGAACTCTCTGTTCATCCTAATTGATGGCTTTGTTTCACTATATGTGTCATTTCGTTTTTTCACGTCAGCTCTCATGGGCAGGGTTCCTGAACGGGCTGGAGGGGATACTTTTTTGTCGCAGCCGCAGGCGAGGGCGCCAGCGGCGAGTGAGGTCCGAGCGGGCCGCGCAAGAGCCGAATTACCTAACGCCGACGGGCCAGCGACCTCAGCAGCGCCTCGGCGGGCGGGCCGGCGTGAGGGGGGGGTGCGGGCTGCAGCTACCAGGGACCAGGTCCAGGAGCGCGCACATGCACGATTAATCAACCAGGGTTGGAGCGCAGCCAAAATGGCGCGGGGGTGGTACCAGGATGTGGCCAGGAAAGCAACCAGCAATACACTGCGTCAGCTGCCACGGGATCATACTGACTCTAAACTGGTGCATAGGGTGGGGCCACCAAAGTCGCACACCGAGATTCCTGAATGGGAGTACCGATGATGCATACGACCGTCCGCGGAATGGTCCCGGTAGGACGAGCGAAGTGGCCAGGACAACGATGGATGTAATCGACACCGTAACACGCCTGAACCACTGGATCAGGTAAAGCCACGCGCACTCTCGAACAGGAGCGCCGACGTCTGAGAGCTGACCAGGACCAGGGGAATCCACGTCTCAGGCACCGGGTCGAGTAGGATGCCGTGGGCATCGCCGCCAGGGACCGTGGACGTAGTCAACACAGTCGTCCGACAGCCAGGAGAGCACAGGCTGAACCACGTGCACTGAGGACCCCATGCGCCCACGATGGTTTTTTTTGGACTCCATGCGCCAACGATGGGGTTGGACCAACGGAGCTGGGGGGACCAGGGGCCGGGGCTGACAGTGCCGCTGCGACGCCCAGCCACCTGAGCGGGGGGGACCAGGACGGAGTGAGGCAGGGCTGTCCTTACGCGGGGAGCAAAACAGCTCGGTGCGAGGCAGCTGCCTATGGGCGCGGGGAACGCCTGGAGGGGATACGCGAAGCGTGAAGATTTCCAGCTCACGACGCTTCCAGCTCTGAAGCCAGAGCGACATCATGTTCTGCAATGTTCCCAGCTCTGAAGACTTAACAGAGATGGCTGTTTTTTTACAACGTTTCCAGCGCAGAAGGGTGGAACACATGGTGTTTCAAGCTCTCTCCAAGGAGAGGAATGAGGAGGATGAGGATCAACCGGGCAGACGGACGCAGTGTTCGAGCCTACAAAAAAACAGAAAGGGGACTTACACGAACAACAAACACGGGCCCAAACGCGACGGGGCTCATGTGCCGAACACACGGCCCCTTTCCGAGACAAAGCCCGTCACAGGTGAGCATCCGTGACCGCACCGACCTTGCAGACGTGCTGCGGCGGACTTTGCGTGGATTTGTGACGAAGCATAACCCCTAGGCGGCAAGCGAACAACGAAGTGAATTTCACGTGGACTTCCTTTTATAGTCTTCATTCCTGGCCCCAAACAAATCCGGAGGAAATTCACTTCGAAATCCGGAGCGAAACTCTCCAGGACATTCCGGGTCCATCTCATTGTTTTCCGAACGAAATCCGCTCTGCGATGTTGCCGTCGTGCAGCATGTTGTCGGATCTGGGGGGAGGTGCCGAGCCTTGTTCATGCACTTGAGGGCGTAAAGCTCCTTGGTGTGCTTGTGCCTCAGGGGGGAGGAGGTGGGCGGGGGCTCTGGATGCCGGCCAGCCCAGGGGGGGCTGGCGGGCACCCCCAGCCTTCCAGGAGGAGGGCGCCCTCCTCCACCGCATCCTGCTCCAGCAGACCCTCCTCCTGACTCTCGGCGCCTCCTCCTCCTCCACCCCCTCCCTTCCTCCTCCTCCTCCTCCTTCTCCTCCTCCTCCTCCTCCTCCTCCGCCTCTCTTCCTCCTCCTCTCTTCCTCCTCCTCCTCCTCTCTTCCTCCTCCTCTCTTCCTCCTCATCCTCCTCCTCCCCCTCATCCTCTCTTACTCTCTTCCTCCTCCTCCTCCTCCTCCATCCCTTTTCCTTCTGAAGGACTTCTCCCTGCCGCATCCCGAGGCGCGTCGGCGGGGCGGGCCGGGTGTTTCACCTGAGACTTCCTCACCATGAGTTCTCCTTTAGCTGAAGATGTGCAACGATTTCGCGGATGGAGGGCGGATCGTTTTCAAAATGTTCCTCTCGCCTTCGCGCCGCGCACACTCGGTTAATACAATTGCGAGAGCTTCACGGATGCAGGGCGGGCGGTTTGTAAGTGCGGCTTTCGCCTCAGCGCTGCGCGCATTCGTCCATAAAGTTTGCAAGAGTTTCACGGATAGAGGGCGGTACCTTTTCAACATGTGGCTCTCGCCTTCGTGCCGACCATATTCGAAAAAAGAGCTTACAGCAGTTTCGCAGATTCTTATGGTTGACGTCCCAGGAACGGTGTTTTGGTACAGCGTACAAGGGCGACACAATTACGTTAATTCGCGGTGTTGAAGTCCCAGGAATGGCGTTCTGGCGCGATTCATGATCGACGCAGAACTTACGTTGATTCGCGGCGTTGAAGTCCCCAGAATTGTGTCCTGGCACGGTTCAAGATTTTTAAACGGTTGTTCTCCAACGGGGGACTTTCCTCTGTGAGAATGAACCCTTGTAGGGATCCGTGAAGAGGGAATCTGGAGTGAGGGTCGATTGCAACATCATTGATGAGTCCTGGGTTTATACTGGTCTTCATCCTCCTCCTCCTCCTCCCTTCCACCTCCTCCTCCTCCTCCTACCTCCCACCTCCTCCTCCTCCTGCTCCTTTCCTCCTCCTCCTTTTCCTCCCCCTTTCCTCCTCCTTCTCCTCCTTCTCTCCTGTCCTGTCCTGTCTTCTCCTCCGCTCTCCTCTCCTCTCCTCTCCTGTCCTGTCCTTTCCTCTCCTCTCCTCTCCTCTCCTCTCCTCTCCTCTCCTCTCCTCTCCTCTCCTCTCCTCTCCCTCCTCCTCTCCCTCCTCCTCCTCCTCCTCCTTCTTCTCCTCCTGCCTCCTCCTTCCTACCTCCTACATCCTACCTCCTCCCTGCCACCTCCTCCTCTTCTTCTTTGTCCTCGGGGAGGAGGACATGGATGATGAGGAGGAGGTGGCGGAGGAGGACGAGGAGAGAGAGGGGCGGAGAGAGAGAGAGAGAGAGAGAGAAACAAGAGAGAAGGAGGAACACGCGGAGCTGCAAACGGATCTTTAGGAGGCTTGATAGGCTCCAAGGTTTCATAGGGGACTCCTGGATCGTCGTCCATCTCCCCTCCTCCCCCTACCTCCTGCTATCTCCTACCTCCTCCTATCTCCTCTTCCTCCTTCGCCTCCTTCTCCTCATAACCGTAAACAGCTTTTACCTCCCCGTGCCCCCCCCCACCCCCTGCAGGCTTCCTGACGGGCAGGGGCCCCCGAGCAATACTTGGAACACCATTTCCCCCCGCGGCGGGCTCCGCTCAGGCATTCCCCCCACTGCCCTCCTCCTCCTCCTTCTCCTGCTACTCCTTGTGCGCACAGGCTGAGCAGGAGACCACCGATTGCGTGGAAGGACGAAGGAGAGAACGAGGAGGGAGAGGACGAGCTTTATTGCCAGCCGAGGGCTTTGGGGGTGGGGGTGGGGTGGGGGGGGTGGGGGTGGCGGTGGCGGGGACACTAGCATTCAAGACCCTTCAAGGTAACTACCTCCCACCTCGTATGGTCGTTAGGGCTCTGCGCGACGGTTTCCGCCAGTGTCGTCCCTACTTCCTGTCCCCTCCTCCTTCTCGATCCGCCGAACACCAATCACAATCATTTGGGCCTCTGGGTGCATATAAGAACGCCTCCAGTGACCTCATCCTCATCGTTATCGTCGACGTCCTCCTGCTGCTCCTCCTTCTCCTCGGAGAAAAGGGGGATGCTGGAGGAGGAGGGTGAGGAGGTTGAGGATGAAGATGCGGCTGCGGATGGGGATGATACTGACGACGATGCGGAGACAGAGACGGATGCGGAGGAGGAGGAGGAAGACTAGGAGGACACGGACGAGGAGGAGGATTCCATAATACCTACCTACCTACATGCCTACCTATATACGTACACACATACATACATGCATGCATGCCTGCATGCCTGTGTCTGTACATCCACACATTCATGCACACATACATACATACACGCTACGTGCATACATACATCTACACAGACAGGCAACCACACACACATACACACATGCATGTATGTATGTATACATACGTACATACATCCATACACATACATGTATATCTACTTACCGACACCCGTCCATACACACCTTCATACATACAACCATGCACACATCCACCCACCTATAGACATACACGCACACATACAACAACACATACACACACATACACATACATACACGCATCCACCCATCCATACATACATACATGTACGCATACATACATCAATCCAGCCAGCCATCCATCCGTCCGTACACTCATCTGTACATACATGTATGCACATACGTACATGCACACACATGCATGCATACATGTATAAATACAACCAGCCGCACATACATACATACATTCATACATGCATGCATGCATGCATGCATGCAGACATACGCACGCACACACATACACACATACACACACGCACACATACATACCTACATGCATACACACATACATATACACACACGTGTACGTACATATATGCGTGCACACATACATTCATCCATACTCACATACATACATGTATCCATACATGTATACACACATGCGTGCATACCTTCATACACACATGCATACATTCACACATTCATACGTACATCTCCGCGTACATGCATACATCCACTCATTCACACACATATATACAGGCATACATACACATATACCCATACACATGCATGCCTACTTGCATACACATGCATACATTCACACATTTACCCAGGCACACATACACACAGACATGTATGCATGCACATACTTACATACATCCATACATCCATGATGTATACATAAGGTACGGAATCAACAAACGGATGTTTGACTAGGATGGTGTTTGTGGTGATAATGCTGATTAGCATGGTGACGATGATGGTGTTCCTTTTTCCTTCTCATACTCCTGCTCCTGCCTCGTCCTCCAGCCTCCCAAGTCGTCCCTCCTCATCCTGTCACTTCCGTCTCTTCTTCTTATTCCTCTTGTTTCTCTTCCTCACCCTCTTCCTCCTCCTCCTCCTCCTCCTCCTTACGCCCCCCCGCCTCGTCGTTCTTCTCTTCCTTCTGCTCCTACTGTCGCCTCCTCCTCCTGATCGTCTTCCTCCCCCTCCGCCTGGACAGTGGAGGGCGAGGGGGACGAAGACGGAGCGTAGGAGTTGCTGCCGCCGCCGCTGCCGCCGTCGTCGTCGCCGCTGCCGTCGTCGTCGTCGCCGCCGCCGCCGCCGCCGTCGTCGTCGTCGCCGTCGTCGTCGCCGATCGATCGAACAGTTTTTGGACGTTCTTGGCCTCCTCCTCGTCGTCGTCGGCCAACAAATTTTTGGACACTCTTGGCCTCCTCTGCTGGGGCAGCGGCAACACGCCGGCCGCGGCACTGAGGAAGACGACCACCCCAGAGATCCGGCGGCGGCACTGCTATTCGAAGCGCGGGCCCCTGGGCCTCCCCTGAGCCCCGCCGACCTGACAATTTGAGCGACGGTCAAAAACTCGCTATCGCTGGGACGTCCGCTTCCCGTGCGTATTTCGATTGTGTGAGTTCATTTTTCGCGAGACGTTCCAGGATGCTCCTCGACGGTCCTCGCCGAGAAGAAATGCACATGTTCGAGCGATGTAAAGAAAAGAGGTCTTACTTGAGATGGCATAGCGACCTTACGCCGCGGCTTACGCGAGCTGCCGGCACGGCACGCCACGTTGGAGACGAAGGCGTTCACGCGCGACCTTGCGCGGGACGCTTACGCGCTAATGTCGGCGCAGACGACCCCGTACTTAAGCGTCGCTCATTCAGCTTTACCCCGATTTCGGCCTCTGGGGCCCGTTTTCGGGCCCCGGGACCAGCAAGAGCGGGTCGGGTGTGGAAAGCTGGCCCGGTGAGAGGGTCGGGATGCTCGGTTTCCCCCGGGGCCGTAGGCGACCCGAGGAGGAGGAGGAGAAGGAGGAGGAGGAGGAGGAGGAGGAGGAGGAAGCGGAGAAGGAGGAGAAAGAGGAGGTGGAGGAGGATGAGGGGGAAGAGTAGGAGTAGGAGTAGGAGTAGGAGTCAAGCTAGCCAGCTCGAGCGAGTCAAGCATGGCATGCCCAGTCCCACCCGCCCTCCCACAACATAAGAAGCAAAGCTGGCACAACTGGGGGCCGAAGTCACACCGGCCAGCCGGTTTGGTACAATGCAAATGCCATCGTTCTCATCCCATTCCTGCCAAGCATTTTGCGACGTGGACGACAGGACGTCCATGCTGAGAGGAAAAACGTTGGTGCGCGGCGCCGAGGCGAGAGCGACATGTCACCCCTTCGCGCGGGGTGTGCGCCGCGTCCCATTCCTGCCACGCATTTTGCGACGTGACGACAGCACGACCATGTTGACAAGAAAAACAAAAACTGTGTATTGTCTTTTGCAGATTAGAATGGGACGGATTGGATGGGCGGGCGCGGGGTGTGCGCCGCGTCCCATTCCTGCCATGCATTTTGCGACGTGGACGACAGGACGTCCATGCGACGGTGCCAATGACGGCGACGACTCTAGAAGGATTTGAGCATGCGCTCGCGGCGACGCGCGCGCATGTCGCCCGCGTGGTATTTTTTGCACAGGATTCGCGGCCTGGGTGCATGACAGAGCATCGCGAGTGCACCGCGCGATGACGTGAAATCGCTGGATTTGACCGAATTCTTAAGATTCCTATGGTTTTCCTATGATTTCAGCAAGAGAGCCCGGGCGGGAAATTTGTACAATTTTTTGTGAAAAAACATTGGGTTTTTGATGTTTTTATGTTGAAATGCTTGCAAACACACGGTGTTCGGTAGGATTCTGACATGAACGCGCGCGTGTGCTCTTTGTGGTATTTTTTGCAATGGATTATCGCCGTGGACGACAGGACGTCCATGTCGAGAGGAAAAAATAAGAAACATGTTGATTTTGTATGGTTTTTTACAGGTTAGGATGGGACCACCCGGATGCGGCCCCTATCTGCCGGCCTGATGGGGGGAGTAGGAGTATATTCTAATAAGGAATAATGATAAGTGGAGGGGGAGGTGGACGGGGGGGAAGAGGAGGAGGAGGAGGAGGAGGAGGAGGAGGAGGAGGGGAGGAGGAGGAGGAGGAGGAGGAGGAGGAGGAGGAGGAGGAGGAGGAGGAGGAGGAGGAGGAAGCGGAGAAGGAGGAGAAAGAGAAGGAGGTGGAGAGGATGAGGGGAGAGGAGGAGGAGGAGGAGGAGGAGGAGGAGGAGGAGGAGGAGGAGGAGGAGGAGGAGGAGGAGGAGGAGGAGGAGGAGGAGGAGGAGGAGGAGGAGGAGGGCGGGGGGAGGAGGAGATGGAGGTGGAGGAGGGAGGCGGAGGAGGAGGAGGAGAAGGGGGAGGAAGAGAAGGACGAGGAGGAAGATGAGGAGGAGGGGGAGGAGGAGGAGGAGGAGGAGGAGGAGGAGGAGGAAGAGGGAGGAGTAGGAGTAGGAGTAGGAGTCAAGCTAGCCAGCTCGAGCGAGTCAAGCATGGCATGCCCAGTCCCACCCGCCCTCCCACAACATAAGAAGCAAAGCTGGCACAACTGGGGGCCGAAGTCACACCGGCCAGCCGGTTTGGTACAGCTGATGCGGCCGCGATGGCGGTTGCCGACGGGAACTGGCGAGCGCGTGTTGAATGCCGCGCACGCATTGCCAGACGAGTCGAGAATGGCCCGGTACACCGCAGGAAGCCAGAGGTGGCCGGAGGAAGCCCGACGGTCTGACAGGACACCCCAAAGCATTTTTGTGAAAAAACATTGGGTTTTTGATGTTTTTATGTTGAAATGCTTGCAAACACACGGTGTTCGGTAGGATTCTGACATGAACGCGCGAGTGTGCTCTTTGTGTATTTTTTGCACAGGATTCGCGGCCTGGGTGCATGACAGAGCATCGCGAGTGCACCGCGCGATGACGTGAAATCGCTGGATTTGACCGAATTCTTAAGATTCCTATGGTTTTCCTATGATTTCAGCAAGAGAGCCCGGGCGGGAAATTTGTACAATTTTTGTGAAAAAGCATTGGGTTTTTGATGTTTTTATGTTGAAATGCTTGCAAACACACGGTGTTCGGTAGGATTCTGACATGAACGCGCGCGTGTGCTCTTTGTGGTATTTTTTGCAATGGATTATCGCCGTGGACGACAGGACGTCCATGTCGAGAGGAAAAAATAAGAAAAATGTTGATTTTGTATTGTTTTTTACAGGTTAGGATGGGACCACCCGGATGCGGCCCCTATCGGCCGGCCTGAGGGGGGAGTAGGAGTATATTCTAATAAGGAATAAGGATAGGAGTAGGAGTAGGAGTAGGAGTCAAGCTAGCCAGCTCGAGCGAGTCAAGCATGGCATGCCCAGTCCCACCCGCCCTCCCACAACATAAGAAGCAAAGCTGGCACAACTGGGGGCCGAAGTCACACCGGCCAGCCGGTTTGGTACAGCTGATGCGGCCGCGATGGCGGTTGCCGACGGGAACTGGCGAGCGCGTGTTGAATGCCGCGCACGCATTGCCAGACGAGTCGAGAATGGCCCGGTACACCGCAGGAAGCCAGAGGTGGCCGGAGGAAGCCCGACGGTCTGACAGGACACCCCAAAGCATTTTTGTGAAAAAGCATTGGGTTTTTGATGTTTTTATGTTGAAATGCTTGCAAACACACGGTGTTCGGTAGGATTCTGACATGAACGCGCGAGTGTGCTCTTTGTTGTTTTTTTGCACAGGATTCGCGGCCTGGGTGCATGACAGAGCATCGCGAGTGCACCGCGCGATGACGTGAAATCGCTGGATTTGACAGAATTCTTAAGATTCCTATGGTTTTCCTATGATTTCAGCAAGAGAGCCCGGGCGGGAAATTTGTACAATTTTTGTGAAAAAAGCATTGGGTTTTTGATGTTTTATGTTGAAATGCTTGCAAACACACGGTGTTCGGTAGGATTCTGACATGAACGCGCGCGTGTGCTCTTTGTGGTATTTTTTGCAATGGATTATCGCCGTGGACGACAGGACGTCCATGTCGAGAGGAAAAAATAAGAAAAATGCTGATTTTGTATTGTTTTTTACAAGTTAGGATGGGACCACCCGGATGCGGCCCCTATCTGCCGGCCTGATGGGGGGAGTAGGAGTATATTCTAATAAGGAATAATGATAGGTGGAGGGGGAGGTGGACGGGGGGGAAGAGGAGGAGGAGGAGGAGGAGGATGAGGAGGAGGAGGAGGAGGAAAGGAGGAGGAGGAGGAGGAGGAGGAGGAGGAGGAGGAGGAGGGGAGGAGGGGGAGGAAGCGGAGAAGGAGAGAAAGAGAAGGAGGTGGAGGAGGATGAGGGGGAAAGAGAGGAGGAGAGGAGGAGGAGGAGGAGGAGGAGGAGGGAGGAGGAGGAGAGGAGGAGGAGGAGGAGTGAGGAGGAGGAAGAGGAGGAGGAGGAGGAGGAGGAGGGGCGGGGGGGAGGAGGAGATGGAGGTGGAGGGAGGAGGCGGAGGAGGAGGAGGAGGAGAAGGAGGAGGAGGAGGAATAAGGAGGAGGAATCAGAATAGGTGGAGGGAGAAGGAAGGAGGAGAAGGAGGATAAGGAGAAGGAGAATAAGGAAGAAGGAGGGGAGGGGAGAATAAGGAGGAGAATAAGAAATAGGAGGAATAAGGAGAAGGAGGAAGGAGAAGGAGGAGGAATAAGGATAGGTGGAGGGGGAGGTGGACGGGGGGGAAGAGGAGGAGGAGGAGGAGGAGGAGGAGGAGGAGGAGGAGGAGGAGGAGGAGGAGAGGAGGGGAGGAGGAGGAGGAGGAAGGAGGAGGAAAGAGGAAGAGGAAGAGGAAGAGAGGAGCGGAGGAGGGAGGAGGAGGAGGAGGAGGAGGAGGAGGAGGAGGAGGAGGAGGAGGAGGAGGAGGAGGAGGGGGAGGTGGAGGAGGGGGAAGAGGAGGAGGAGCAGGAGGAGGAGGAGGAAGAAGAGGAGGAGGAGAAACAGGAGGAGGGGGAGGGGGAGGATGAGTACGGGTCGCCTAAGGCCTTCGGAGAAACCCTCCAGGTCGGGACCTGTGGGGCCGCACGCTGGACAAACGCACGTCGCCGGATGTCTGGGTTTTGGCTCCCCCCCCGAGAGCCTCGCCCAAGCAGCGGCCGACGCTCGCGCACCTCGGACGACGTCGAGGCGGCCAGCCTGTCGACAGTCTTGAGACGAGGGCAGGAAGAGGACCTCAGCTGCCCCGATGCGCAGCACGCAACACGTAGCGTCTTGATACGGAGCTCAACACGTAGACTGAAGACATACGTCTGACGCGATACGTTCGCCAAAACGTGGGCCAATACGTTGAGCCAACACGCAACGTATTGGCACGGACGTTTTGCGCATGGTACGTGTTGCGTATCAAGACGGGCGTATCGATGCAGCTAAGAAGAGGACGTATTCGGGTGGGGATGACTACTTCGGGAGGGTCTCTGAAAGCCGGTGGGTCTGGAGGACGTATTGGTTGCCGTGGCCGCGCGATCCAGAACGCTCTGAGAGCGTTCTGGGGCGCGCGGGGGCGCTCTGTCCTGGTCCTAGGCCTGCGCAGATCCGGGCCTGTTTCGAGCCTCGGGGCCGTCAGAAAACAGCTCGGGATGGAAAAACGGGTCCTAGGGAGGGGTTTGAGAGGTCTGGGGGCCCACGCATCGAACAGCTCGAAGCGCTGGATGTCTGGGGTGGCAGCACTCGCTGCCGCGGCCCTCGCCTCGCGCGCGGCGCTGCTTCCAGCCAGCACATCCAGCGGATGGATTTTCGTAACTCTGGGAGCTTGTCACCAAATATGGGCCCCGGGCGAGAAACGGCCCCTGGGGAGAAGAAGTCGGGACCTCTGGGGGCCGCGGACTACAGAAACCGCACCGTCGGAGGTCTGGGGTGGCCGATGGCGTTCTGCCGTGAGGAAAAAGGATCCAGACGGGAAAAGGTCCTGGACACCAGGGGCTTCCCCGGGGGCGACAACTTCATCCCTGGCCGCTTCTTGACGGCCACAGGGCCGGGACGGTGAACCACGTCAGGGCACCTCTCCTTCAGGATTCCTTTCCTTCAGTGCCAAGTGGCGTTGGACGCCACCCCGCAGCTCAGCTCGAAAGGGCCCTCCGACCAAATCCGCTGAGGCCACCGCCGCCGCTCGCCGCTCGCCACCGCCGCTCGCCGATGGCTCGCCGCCGCTCGCCGCGCGCCGATGGCCCGCCGCCCGCCGATTGCTTGCCGATTGCTCGCCGCCGCTCGCCAAGCGCTCGCTGCTGCGGCGAGGCCCCGCGCGAGCCTGCAGAGCTCGACGGGCCCGACGGAGCTGACGCCCAGCAGCGCAGTGACGGTGAGGTTGCCTCGGGCGGCGGAGGAGGAGGAGGAGGAGGAGGAGGAGGAGGAGGAGGAGGAGGAGGAGGAGGAGGAGGAGGAGGAGGAGGGAGGAGGAGGAGGAGGAGGAGGAGGAGGAGGAGGAGGAGGAGGAGGAGGAGGAGAGGAGGAGGAGGAGCAGGAGGAGCAGGAGGAGGAGCAGGAGGAGCAGGAGGAGCAGAAGGAGGAGGAGGAGGAGGAGCAGGAGGAGGAGGAGGAGGAGCAGGAGGAGGAGGAGATGAGATGATGATGCTGATGCTGATGATGATGATGATGATGATGATGATGATGATGAGATGGAGGAGGAGGAGGAGGAGAGGAGGAGGAAGGAGGAGGAGGAGGAGGAGGAAGAGAGGGGAGGAGGAGGAGGAGGAGGAGAGGAGGAGGAGGCGGAGGAGGAGGAGGAGGAGAGAGGAGGAGGAGGAGGAGGAGGAGGAGTGAGGAGGAGGAGGAGGAGGAGGAGGAGGAGGAGAGGAGGAGGAGGAGGAGGAGGAGGGGAGGAGGAGGAGGAGGAGGAGGAGGAGGAGGAGGAGGAGGAGGAGGAGGAGGAGGAGGAGGAGGAGGAGGAGGAGGAGGAGGAGGAGGAGGAGGGGGAGGGGAGGGGGAGGAGGAGGAGGAGGGAGAGGGAAGGAGGAGCTACCTGGTACTCCTGCCGAGAAGCTTCCGTCGTGTTCGCGGCACGGGCTGCAGCGCTCGCACCACGAGGTGCGCGACCCGCCTGGAAGAGCTGGCCCCTCGAGACGAGGGGGACACCGCCGGCGCCGCGGCGGCGGCGGCGACGCGAGCAGGCCCTACCCCCGAGGGGGACCTCTGGGCTACACACAGACCTGCTGCCGATCGCGAGGCCCGAGCGCACGCCACGGCATTGGTTGCGGATCCGTGGATCCGGCGCGCGGGCGCCGGGGCCACGGATGGGGGCTGGCGCCCCCGCGATGCGGGGCCAGTGCCGCCCGATGCGGCGACGGAGCGCGCCGGTTCTGCAGGGAGGCGGGGCCTGTCACGAAGCCGTGCGCCCCGATGCAGGCTTGCGCTCCCTCGGCGTGGCGCTCTGAGGCCGCGGGCGGCCGCAACCGTCGCGGCGATTCCTCCCCGCAGCCCCGCAGAGGCGACAAGACTGCTGGATTCGCCCGCGCGCGAGCACCTTGCTCTGCCAGAGAGCAGAAGAGCACGGCGCCACGAGGCCCTCCGGGCAACTATGCGGCCCGGGACCGTCAAACGACAGGTCAGGATGAACAGCCGGCGCGGGGGAAAAGTTCGGACTTCCAGGGACCCCGTTTATGAGCAAATCTACACTAGGATCTCGACCAAAAGAAGCCTTCCACAAGAAACCCAACCCTGAGACCACAGGACGTCCATTGGTTTTTTGGCGTGGGAACGCCACGCTCTCCACAGCAAAACCATTGAAACCCCCCAAAACCCTGGGGAACCTGGCGGCAAGCAGGGTGCTCCTTGGCATGGGTTTCCACCGTATCAGACCTCAGCGATTCCTCTCGGTCTACCTTGCTCTACGATGCACGCGCAGAGTGTGCGACGTATGTGAAGCGGGCAAGCTGAAACCCAGACCTTCGACGAATTGGCTTTTCAGGCCATGGACCCAAAGCTCTTAACCCTTTCTTGCCATGCTCGCTTGTTCGGGCCGCCCTGCGGCCCAGAAACAGCTTCCGGTGCCGAGAATGGAGAAGACTAAGGGGCACCGTCAGGGGGGGAACCATCGACCTGGAATCGGCGATGCATCGCCGATCGATTGGCGATGGGCCCCTGGATGCCGAATCCGCACGCTCCTGTGCGTGGGGGGCTATCTTGCCCCTGTCCGGGATCCATGGGCGATCAGGGGTCGATGCGTCCCGCCCTTGGCCTCCCCCCCCCGTGGTGCTGCTCCTGAGAGAACCTCCGCCGCGATTTTCGGGTCGCAAGGCTTGTGGGCAGACTCTGCGCCGAGTGCGGTCCCCGGGGCCCTCCCGGGGTCCGCTCTGGCTGGCTGGTCGGGCCGCGCCCGGCTGAGCGACGGCGAGGGACCCGAAGGGTGAACGAACGGCCCGAGGGGCGAGCAAAACCCTCGGGGGCAGCGACAGAAACCGTACGAAGGCTCGTTCTCTCTCTCTCGAAGCGCACGTATCCTATCCACAAAACAGCCTCACTCCTGTGCAACGAGCGATGGTGACACTGAAATGTACCAAGCTAAGCCCGGGGGCCGCGCGACGACCAACCTGCAATAGGCGAGCCCGTGCGCGAAGCCTCTCTCGAAGCGATTTTTTGACTTGCCGCTGCGTCCCCCCTCCCCCCTCCGTGCGCGCGAGGGCGGCAGCGGCGGCGGCGGGGGCGCGCTCAAGGTCATCGCGTCGTCCTTCGGGCCCCCGGCCTTGGCGCCGAAACCGCGGCGGCAAGGGGGTCGTCGTCGTCGTCGTCGTCGTCGTCGTCGTCGTCGTCGTCACCGTCACCGTCGTCACCGTCACCGTCGTCGTCGTCGTCGTCGTCGTCGTCGTCGTCGTCGTCGTCACCGTCACCGTCGTCGTCGTCGTCGTCGTCCGTCGTCCGTCGTCCGTCGTCCGTCGTCCGTCGTCGTCGTCGTCGTCGTCGTCGTCGTCGTCGTCGTCGTCGTCGTCGTCGTCGTCGTCGTCGTCGTCGTCGTCGTCGTCGTCGTCGTCGTCGTGTCCGTCGTCGTCGTCCGTCGTCGTCGTCGTCGTCGTCGTCGTCGTCGTCGTCGTCGTCGTCGTCGTCGTCGTCGTCGTCGTCGTCGTCGTCGTCCTCTGCGTCTTCGTCGTCGTCGTCCGTCGTCGTCCGTCATTGTCCGTCGTTGTCCGTCGTCCGTCGTCGTCGTCCGTGGTTGTCCGTGGTTGTCCGTCGATGTCCGTGGTCCGTGGTCCGTGGTCCGTCGTCCTCGTCGTCGTCGTCGTCGTCCGTCGTCGTCGTCGTCCGTCGTCGTCGTCGTCGTCGTCGTCGTCGTCGTTCTCTGCGTCGTCGGGGTTGTTCCGTCGTTTGTCCCGTCGTTTTGTCCGTCGTCCGTCGTCGGTCGTCGTCCGTCGTTGTCGTCGTTGTCGTCGTCCGTCGTCGTCCGTCGTCCGTCGTCCGTCGTCCGTCGTCGTCGTCGCCGTCGTCGTCGGTCGTCTCGTGTCGGGCGTCGTCGTCGTCGTCGCCAAGTGTCGTCGTCGTCCTCGTCGGTCGTCCGTCGTCGTCGGTCGTCGTCGTCGTCGGTCGTCGTCGTCGTCGGTCGTCGGTCGTCGTCGTCGGTCGTCGTCGGTCGTCGTCGTCGACGTCCGTCGTCGTCGTCGTCGTCCGTCGTCGTCTTCGTCGTCGTCCGTTGTCGTCGTCGGTCGTCGTCGATCGTCGTCGTCGACGTCGTCGTCGTCGTCGATCGTCGTCCGTCGTCGTCGTCGTCGTCGTCGTCGTCGTCGTCCGTCGTCGTCGTCGTCGTCGTCCGTCGTTGTCCGTCGTTGTCTGTTGTCCGTTGTCCGTCGTCCGTCGTCGTCGTCGTCGTGGTCGTCCGTCGTCGTCGTCGTCGTCGTCGTTGTCGTCGTCGCCGTCGTCGTCCGTCGTTGTCCGTCGTTGTCCGTCGTTGTCCGTTGTCCGTCGTTGTCCGTCGTTGTCCGTCGTTGTCCGTCGTCCGTCGTTGTCCGTGGTCCGTCGTCCGTCGTCGTCGTCGTCGTCGTCGTCGTCGTCGTCGTCGTCGTCGTCGTCGTCGTCGTCGTCGTCGACATCGCGTCGTCGTCGTGTCGTCGTCCGTCGTCGTCGTCGTCGTCGTCGACGTCGTCGTCCGTCGTCGTCGTCGTCTCCGTCGTCGTCGTCGTCGTCGTCGTCGTCGTCGTCGTCGTCGTCGTCGTCGTCGTCGTCGTCGTGGTCGTCGTCAATCGTTGTCCGTCGTTGTCCGTCGTTGTCCGTCGTCCGTGTTCCGTGGTCCGTGGTCCGTGGTCCGTCGTCGTCGTCGTCGTCGTCGTCGTCGTCGTCGTCGTCGTCGTCGTCGTCGTCGTCGTCGTCGTCGCCGTTGTCAGTCGTTGTCCGTTGTTGTCCTTCGTTGTCCGTCGTTGTCCGTCGTCCGTCGTCCGTCGTTGTCCGTCGTCGTCGTCGTTGTCGGTGTCCGTCGTCCGTCGTTGTCCGTCGTTGTCCGTCGTTTGTCCGTCGTCGTCCGTCGTCGTCGTCGTCGTCGTCGTCGTCGTCGTCGTCGTCGTCGTCGTCGTCGTCGTCGACGTCGTCGTCGTCCGTCGTTGTCCGTCGTCCGTCGTCCTCGTCGTCGTCGTCGTCGCCGGCGACCTCGTTTGGAGGCTTTTGGATCAGGATCGAGGCCCGACGCTTTCGGGCGTCTCTGGTTCTGTCTTTAGCCCGCCCCGTGTGCCTCCAGAGGCTTCTGCAGTCACCCCCCTCCCTCCTTCGCTTCCTCCTCCTCCTCCTCCTCCTCTTCCAACTCCTCCTCCTCCAACTCCTCCTCCTCCTCCTCCTCCTCCTCCTCCTTCCCTCCCTCCCTCCCTCCCTCCCTCCCTCCCTTCCTCCTTCTTCCCTCCTCCTTCGTTCGCAGCTTGAGGGCAGAGAATGGAAGTCCAAGCTCCTCCTCCTCCTCGTCCTCCTCCACCCTTTGAAAGAGCGCAGAACGTCATAAGTAGAAATTTTCGGAGGTCCGCGCGGATTTCCCGAGTCGGCGCCGGACTCCCCCTGGCGGCGCCCCCCCCTGGCGTGCGTCGCGAGCCAAGGGGGGGGGGGGCGGTGCAGTGCTGGCCCGCGCAGTCCACGCGGACACACGCAAGCCTGTGTTCGTGCTGTGTTCTGGTACCGCTTCTGGCAGGCGTCCCTGCCAATCTCGCGGTGGGGCCAGGGGTGGCGTCGAGGGCGCCCCACGAGGCCCCAGACGCGTGACACAAATCAATGCCTCTTCTTCTTCTTCTGCTTCTTCTGCTTCTTGGCCTTCCTCCTCCTCCTGCTCCCCTCCCCCCCTCCTCCCCCCCAAGAGCTCCCCGATGCCTCCCTCCGGCCTCCAGAGGCCAAAAAAGGAGGACCACGAGCGCAGAGGCACTCCGACCCCAGACCCCCGACGTCATGATTTTTTCATGACGCGACCCCCAGAGGTCCAGACCCATTCCCCGGGACCGGTTTTTCGTCCCGAGTGGTTTTTTGACGGTCCCGAGGCCCGGTAAGGTCCCCCGGAGGCCGAAAATAGCGAAAAACCTCCCGTCGTGATTTTTTCATGACTCGAGGAGGTCTGGGACACGGGCTGCCAGTGCGTGCTCCCTGCTCGCCGGGCCCGAGGCCCATGGGGCTCCGGCCGGTGACGCGGCCGCGCCTCGGGCGGGAGAGCCCGCCTCCGCCCGCCTGCGGCCTCGCTCGGCGGAGCGCCCCCGCACGGGCCGCGTCCGCAACCGCCCCAGCGATCCTCCGCCCCGTCGGTCCTCGAGCCCCGGCCCTCGACGCCGGGGGGGCCCCCCTCCTCCTCCTCCTCCTCCTCCTCCTCCTCCTCCTCCTCCTCCTCCTCCTCCTCCTCCTCCTCCTCCTCCTCCTCCTCCTCCAGCGGTGCGGCGACGAGCCGCGTGGCGACCTCGAGATCTGGAAGGATCCCACCGCCCGGTCCGTCGCCGCCCGGCTTGGGGGCCCTCCAGGCCCCGATCGCTGGAGACAGCCGCGGAGATCGGCCCAAGTCTCACGTCCCCGCGGTGGCCCCGAATCCATACCGACTCACCACGCGGTGAGGAGGAGGAGGAGGAGGAGGAGGAGGAGGAGGAGGAGGAGGAGGAGGAGGAGGAGGAGGAGGAGGAGGAGGAGGAGGAGGTGGTCACCGCACCGTTTGGGGGGCCCTCGAGCTCTGGCCTTAAGAGGGGGTCCGTGCCCCCTGTGCCAGGGGGGGGCCAAAGGGCCCCCGGGAGCCGCGGCGGCGCGCGCCTTGGACGCCGTGGTGGCGTAGCGCGTGAAGGCTGGCGCGGGTGCCGCCTCCACCAGCCTGTGGCGCGGGTGCGGCCGCGCGCGAAGGCAGTGCTGGTCGTCGTCGTCGTCGTCGTCGTCGTCGTCGCCGTCGTCGTCGTCGTCGCCGTCGCCGTCGCCGTCGCCGATTGAGGCTCAAGGTTCGATCAAGTCTGTTGCACTCTGGAGGCCCGTTTCGGGCCTCGGGGTCGTCAGACATCGGTCCGGAGTGGAGGACTGCCCAGGATGGGTCTGGGGGCATTTTTGCTTTCAATGGATTGGTCCTACCATGGGAACAAGCAGGAAGAGAATCCGCTGTGGTTTGGGAAGTAAGTTTGAGCGGATTTCGGCCGCTGTCGTCGTCGTCCTCCTCCTTCTACCCCTCCTTGCATACTGTCAGGCTGCAGCTTACGCCAATCCAGGATCAACCTCCTCGTCGTCCTCCTCCTCCTCCTCCTTCCACCCCTGGCCGACGGCCTGGGAAAAATGTGGTCGCCCATGCAGCTCGAGCGTAAGCTGGCCCTGGCGTAGACCCCCCTCGTTGGAACATGTCCGCGGGCCCCTGACTGCCAGAGAGCGCAGTCCGAATCGTTTGCTTTGGGCGTCTGTGCTGAGAACTGGTTCGTGAACAATTCCGAACGGGGCACAGTGAGCTCGCAGAACGCCAGCCTGTTTGGCAGCAGTGCTCGTCATCGTGCTGTCAACCTTCGCGAGCGCAAACATTCCGTGCTGTCGGCGGAGCGGGTTCCCAGGTCGGTGCCCGCTGTTGCGCACTCGAGCGTCTCGAACGAGCAGTGGGCCTAAACGTTTTGCCGAGGAAACTGAGCACACGCCAGCCTGGAATTATGCAACATCCACCATGAACGAATCGGAGTTCATAGCCACCGTGTCTTTCTTTTGTGGGGCACCGCTCATAACAATGCTGGATAATCTGCAACTGACTGACTTGATCTGGTTCGCAGAACCACTGACACCTATACGGACATGGACTCGTGAAAGCTTGCCATCTGCAGCAGAATGTCCAAGAATCTGCTTCGACAGGATGAGGAGGAGAACAGGGAGGGAGAAATTCGGAAACAAGGTCCCCCTGAGGACCGGGGGGCTGGGAACGTCCGACGGCGCTGCGTAAGAAAGGAGGTAGAACAGGTTTTTGTTTTGGAAGTGGGTTGGAGTCAAGCGCTAACTCCCAGGCAGCAACAAGACCGAACGATGGCCCGAAAAAGACGAATGAGCGAGGGCTGAGGGAGAAGAGGGACGACCAGCGTAAACCTAGGAGGCATCAATGACGATGTCGTACGCCTTCCCAAGCCCCATCCTTTTCCCTGGAGGGCTCTGGAGGTCCCTGGAGAGTCACTTTCCGGAGGCGTCCAGAGGTCCAACAAAGTCCCAAATACACCGGAGCTTCGATCATCGGTCCTCCTCTCGGAGTGGGCAGGAGAGGGGGCTAGGAAAGGGCGGGCTGAAGGAATCCGCTGCGCGTGGCTGGTTACCCCGCGCCTCGTGGCGCCAGGAGCGAGCGTGCATCGAGGGTGGTGACGAGCGGCGGGGCCTGTAAACCCGCTGCATGCAGCTCCCCTTGCCTTCGCCCACCCCCTCTCTTCGTCAGGCCCTGCACTTGTGAAGTCCCAGATATGCAGCGGAGCGCCAGAATGGTCTTCCGAAAGCCTCCGGAGAGGGCTCTGGAGGCTCCTGGAAGGAGCTCGGAGCTTCCGGAGAGTTTACGGGGCGCACGTATTGGGAAACGCCCCTGGCACTCGCCCGCCCGCCCCCCCCGTCTTCGGCAGGCCCTGAAGCTTTGCACCTCCAGGGCTCCCCTCTGAGCCCTGTCGGCGTCCGAGGCCACTCGGCCGCCGAGTGGGCAGCCGAACGGGCTCAGCTCCGACGGGGCGGGTGGGAAGTTGGCCCGCTCGGCGGCCGAGCGGGCTCAGACGCCGAGCCGGCTCAGAGGGGAACCCGCGGACCTCTCCGGAGGTGCGTTCTGCACAGGACGTCGAGAAGCGGATCTGGCCGCGGCGACGGGAAGCTCTCGCGGAGGCCCAAGAGAAGTGCACAGGCGTGGACGGGCCTCGGATCTCCACCGAGCGGGCGCCGAACGCCCTGTGGGTCAAAGGTCAACGACTGGTCGGCTGGTCCAGCGCGCTCTGACCAGAACTTCGGGGCGGATCCTGCGACGAGGAGACGACGAGACCCCCGGGACGCGCGACGAGGGCAGGCGAAAACGGGCACAAGCACCTCGAACCTCGAGATGCATTTTATGGTTTGAGCAGGGACCGACCGTCCCGGCATTCCTATAGTCCTACCACGAAATGTTCTTAGAAACCAAAAATGTTCTAAGAACAAAAACAATGTTCGTAGAACATAATCCCGACGTGTTCAAACAAGGCAGACTCCGCCAGACATGTTCTAAGACAATTTCGTTGGAACCTCAAAAGGCTCTTAGAACATTGTTTGGTAGGGCTATAGGCGAGCCAGGACGCTTCGCCACTGCTTGACCTGTTGCCTTTTTTTGCCACGAGCAGCGCCAGGTCGGGTAGGCGCGCGGGCGCGTCCAGGCACTTCGACCGCCGCCAGGCCTCCGGCGTGGGCGCCGCGGTCTCGTGCCACGCCGCGGCCGAGTGCCCGCCGCCCAGCGGCAGCACCACCGGCTCCGCGCCGCCGGGCCGCGCTCCCTCGGGCAGCACCAGCGGCGCGCCGCCGCGGTCGCCACCCTCGGGCAGAAGCTCGTCTTAGGTCGGGCATGCCCCCCATACAGGGGGGTCTTGGAGACGAAAAATCAAACAGATTCAAAAAGTGTTCAAAAAGAGTCAAAACATAGACAAGTCGTTCCCAGACTATTTTTTGGCTATTGTTGAATATTCCTCCTGTAGAGGGACAGGCCCGACTTAAAGCTCGTCGAGCGCCACGCCCAGGTGCTTCACCCTGTTGGCCAGGGAGCCCCGGTCCGCCATCGCCTCGGGGATGTGGCGCCGCCGCCGCCGACGCCGCGGTCGTCGCCGCCGCCGTCGACGCCGCCGCCGCCGTGCTTGGCCACCGCCGCCGTCACCGCCGCCGCTTCCGTCGCCGCCGCTGCTGCAGTCGCCGCCGCCGACGCTGCCGCCGAGTCGCCGCTGCAGTCACTGCCGCCGTCCTCGTCGCAACCGTCGCAATCGCCTCAGGTGCGGGCGGGGTCGCGCTCATGGCCGGGAAGCGGAGCGCGTGCAGGGCCAGCTCGCCGGAGGCCGTGGCACGGTGGGCCAGGAGCTGGAGCAGCGACTGGTCGGCGAAGGGCATGGCCCGCATGGTCGCCTCGTCGCAGTTGCTGCGCAGCCACCTGGGAGACTAACGGAAAGGGGTCTTACGCAAGTGTAGGTAGCGATCTTCTGCCGCGGCATACGCGGGCCGTCACCGTGGCTTACCGCGTGAAGGAGAGGGCGCGTTCGCGCGAGCCTACATAAGCGGGAACCTTGCGCGCGAATGTCCGCGCAACCGACCCCGTTCTTCTTCCGTCGTTCACCTGTTGGGTGTTGCCAAGAGTGCCCCTGGCCCAAAGCGCCCCCATGAATTACGGGGAGACCCCGACAGCCTTCAGAGCACCCTTCACGAGGCCCAGATGGCCACAAGGGCTCCACAATGCAGCGAGATTCTCGGGACACCTCGCGCAATTGACATCAATAGCGATGAGTTCAACCCCCGGCAGATAGTTCAATCCCCGAAAGAAAAGATAAATCCCCGGAAGCAGGTTCACCCCGCAGCAGAAGGGTTCGATTCCCGGCACCCACCCAAATTGCATTCCAAAACAAGGGAAGCTCTAACATTCAGAATGCTAATGCGAGTCCGTCGGGTTACCACATGAAGCCTGGGAACATTTGTTGCCGGGGATTGAACGCTTCTTGGGCTATATCTATACATGCATAGCTATAGAAATATGTTGCCATTCTCGTAGTCGTGGTCCAATTGGAATTGTATGCATTTCCTTGTAATTGGAATGAAAGTGGGCTCCTAAGAGGATCCAAGGAAATCCGATTCGAATGCCATAGCATTTCTCTCGAAAGGAATTCTGATTCCTCTCTATCGGGCTTCAAATCTTGGATATTTTTGAAGGCTTCGTCCAACCGAGCCGCACACTGTTTTCACGGTGGGATTTACCAGTGGCAACAACGCCCCCGATTCCGACTGGCTAGAGAAACTCGCATGCCCATTTGGGACCCACGTTTGCGAAAGAGGTCTCTCTGGAGCTGAGAGGCCTGTCGAAGGACGGCAAAGGCTTGTCCAAGGGTCCAAGAAGCTTGTCGAAAGGCCCAGGAAGCCTCTCGGGAGGCCAAAACGGCTTGTCGAAAGACCCAAAAGGCCTCTCGGGAGACCCAAGAGGCCTGTCCGAGGGCCCAAAAAGCTTGTCAAAGGGCCCCAAAGGCGTGTTGAATGATCCAAAACGCCTGTCGAAAAGGCCTAGGAGGCTTGTCGGGAGGCCCAAGGGGCCTGTTGGAGGGTCCAAAAAGCTAGTCGGAAGGCCCAGAAGCTGCTGGGAAAACCGAAAAGGCTTTTCGGAAGGTCCAAATGGCGTCTCGGGAAGCCCAGGACGAAGAAGCCTCTCGGAAAACCCCATAGGCCTCTCGAGAGGTCCAAGAGGCCTCTCGGGAGGCCTAATAAGCCGGTCGAAAAAAAAACACAAAAGCCTTTCGGGAGGCCCGAGAGGCCTGTCGAAACGCCCAAGGATCTTCTCGGAAGGCCCAAGAGGCCTCTCGGGAGGCCCAAAAGGCCTGTCCGAGGACCCAAGAAGCTGGTCAAAGGGCCCCAAAATCGTGTCAAATGATCCAAAACGCCTGTCGAAAAAGGCTAAATAGGCTTGTCGGGAAACCCAAGGAGCCTGTGGGAGGGACCAAGAAGCCTATCGGAGGGCCCAAAAACCGACCTGTCGGGAAAACAAAAGAGGCTTCTCGGGAGGCCCAAGCGGCATCTCGGGACGCCCACGAGGCCTCGCGGGAGGCCCCATCGAAAAGACCCAAGGGGCCTCTGATGAGGCTCGCGAGGCCTGTCGAAAAGCCAGGAACAACTTCTCGGGAGGCCCAAGACGCTTGTCGGAACGCTCCAAAAGGGCCCCTCGGAAAGCCCAGGAGGCCTTTCGGAGGGCCCCGAGAGGCCTGCCGGGAAGGCCGAAGAGGCCTCTCGGAAGGCCTCAAAAAGGCCTCTCGGGAGGCCCAAGGTGCAGGCCTCTCGGGAGGCTCAAGAAGCTGGCCGACAGGCCAAAGGGGCCTCTCGGGAGGCCCAGGGAGCCTGTCGAAACGCCCCCCAAAAAACCTCTCGGACGGCCCAGAAGGCCTCTCGGAAGGCCTAAGAAGAGGCTAATCAATGGGCCCGAGGAGCCTGGGGCTTGCCGGAGAGCCGAAGAGGCCTGTCGGAGGGCCCAAAATGCTCGTCTGAGTGCCCAGGCGGCCTGTCGGGAGGCCCAAGAGACCAGTCGGGAAACCCAAGAGGCCTGTCGGGAGGCCCAGGAGGAGGACCACACCACTTCTGAGCTTCAAGTCTGAGGATAATGATTAGCTTCTGGGGCATGAACATCTCTCACTGCACCGACCTTGCAGACGTGCCGCAGCGGATTTCTGCGTGGATTTTTGTCATTGCAAAACCCTGAAAGGGCGAGCGAAAACGAAGCGAATGTCACGTGTTTTTTTGTAGTCTGCATTCCTGGCCCAAAAAACCTGCACGAAATTCCTTTCGAAGTCCGGAACGAAATTCTCCACGACACTCGGACCCATCCAATAATCATCCGAACGAAATCCGCTCTGCGATGTTAACGCCATGAAATCTCTGCCGGGGATTGAACCCTCCTGACGGGGATGACCCTTTTCTCCCGTAGCCCCCTCCCCCGAAACTGGCAGAAGTCACGCGCGTTGTGGCAATGCGACAATACCCTTTTGCCTGCACTTTGTCGGTCATCGGTCTGGCTCACACGAGTCCCGCAAAGGACGCAACGCCGGCCCCATACTGACAAGACAGGCTGCCTCGACGTGCCTTCATCGTCAAGCTTGACTGTCTGGACTTGATCGGGGCCGGGTTCGGGCTCCTCGGGGGGGGCTCCAGGGCGGCCTTGTCGCAAATGTTAGGCTGGGCACGTCCTCCTATGGGCGGATTTTGGAGGAAACATGACAAAGAATCGACCACACGATTCAAACAGAGTCGAACGTCATCGGAAACCCGTCCCCAGGCTATCTTCTCGACCATTTTGTGAATCTGCCTCCTGCAGAGGGGGCAGGCCCGACCTGACGCAGCTGCAGCGCAGCCCGCCGGCGCGACGGAGGGCGCGGCGACGGAAGGCAGGCCGCAGGGAGGGGCGGCACACGCCGCGCGCGGAGAGAGAGCAGGGGGGCGCGGCCGCGCGACCTGCCCGCGTGCAGCCTGGGCGCGAGCGCCCTGCGCTGCCGCCTCCGCTCACAGGCGGACTCGGGTCGAAGGATGAAAAATTCGCCGGCCCAACGGGCCAGAGGCTTGCTAAGATCCCCGGTAACTGCTAAATGATACTTCTACTTCGCGCGCGCGGGGCGGCCGTCCCCGGACGAAAAGTACCCCGGGCGATCCCCGGCAGACTCGGGTCAGAGATGGTTATCCTCCCGCGTCGCTCGCCCGAGCGACGATCAAAAAAAAGAAGGCCTTGCGCGAGACGACGTCGCGACGCAGCGGTCCTGCGCGGTGGCTTTGCGCGGGCCGCCCGCGCGGCACGCCGCGTTCGGAGCAGGGGCGCTTCCGCGCGACCTGGCGCGGGCAGCTTGCGCGCCAATGTCGGCGCAGACGACCCCGTTCTTTTTTATAGTGTTTTTTTACAGTTTTTTTTTTTTTTTTTTTTTTTTTTGTTGCGTCGCTCACCTGGCGGAAGGCCCCACGCATCCAGCATCTCGGGCCCCTCGGATGGCCTCCAAGGGCGCCAAGGGGCTTCGGAGGACCCGGGAGGCCCTCGGCGGAGCTCGGAGGAGCTCGGGGGACCTCGAGAGGCGCCTCGGCACGGCGCCCTGGCCCGCTGGGCCCACGACCCCTGGCACAGGCCACCTTGAAGGGGCCCTGGGACACGCAAATAAAGGCACACAAATGACCAGACATGCCATATTTTCCCATATTTTCTGGGTTTCTGTCTCTCCCCCTCCACCTCCCATATTTTCCATATTTTCGGGGGAATCGACGACTAATAGTGTCTGTGTGTTTTCTCCCCCCCCTGGACACCTGTCCACGAACTTCAGCGCGGCGGCACCCTTGCGGAAGGCGACCCAGGAGTTCTGCAGCATGGCCTGGCCCTGGAAGTCGCTGCGGCAGGCGCCGTCCCCCTCCCCGCACAGGCCCGCGCGCTCCAGCGCGGCGGAGAGCTCCGCGAGCAGCTGGCCCTCGCCCATGGTGCGCCACTCGTCGAAGCTGGTCACCGAGTAGCTGGGCGTGCACCGCTGCGTCCACTCCCACAGGACCGACGGGGGCAGCACGGAGCCCGCGAGCCCGTCGGAGCCCGCGGCCTCCAGGGCGCCCAGCAGCGCCGACAGCTTCGCCGCGTGCGTCTCGTTGAAGCCGCTCCGCACGTAGCTGGTGCTGTCCTGGTAGACGACCCACTCGCCCTCCTGGACCTCCTCCGAACGCAGGCGCTCCAGAACGACGAACGCCTTCCACCACCGCCACTTGAAGGGCATCCAGCTCCCCGTCTCGACGTCGGCCAGCGGGTTCCACTGCCCGCTCATGATCCGGGCCTGCACAGACTTCATGCTCCAGGCCGCGTGCGAGGAGAAGCCCGCCAGGGATGCGGAAGCGCCCATCTGCTTCTGCACGCTCGCGAGGGTAGAAGAAGAAGAAGCAACGCCATGAACAGAAACTTCTGGCGCTCCGCGCGGACTTCTTGGCTCTGCGCTGGACCCCCCCCCCCGGAGCGCGCCAGGGGGCGGCGCGGGAGGCGCCGCCAGGGGGAGCGCGGAGTGCCAACAGTTTATGTTAATGTTAAGTCGGGCCTCTCCCCCTACAGGGGGATTTTCGACGAAGAATCAAACATACTCCAAAAATAATCTAAACAAAAGTCCAAAATAGTCAGGGGACCATTTTCTGAACATTTTTTGACGGGTACTTTTCAAGCATCGTCGAACATCCCCCTGCATGGGGGACAGGCCCGACTTAAGAGTTTATGTCAATGGCGCTTCTTTCTTCTTCGAGAAGGGCTCGTTCTCCGCGAACGTCACCAGGTGGGCGCGGCGGTGCCGCGCGACCGGCCGGGCCCCGTGCGCCGCGGGCACCCCGGGCCTCACGAAGAGGCAGTCGGTCTCGCGGAGCCACGCCGCCCCCTCCGCGTACGCCTCGCACCCCGCGAGCCGGAGGCCCTCGGCCTCCAGGGCCGCGACGACGTCCGCGCGGCTCTGCTGCCCGACGTACCTGAGAGGGGCCCAAGGACGCACATGCAGATACACACGCACAGCTCCCAGGATTCCCCATCTTCTCTTGCATATATTTTCCGGGCTGTCGTCTTCCCCCCCGCTTCAGATCTTTGCCCACATGTTCCTGGGATCTGGACGCCCGAAATGGGTACGGAAAGAATGGGTACAATGCCCAAGAACAAATGTTGTCCCAAACCAACTGCGGCCGCTGTTGGGCAGGCGGCCTTCTGTCTCGAATGGACACAGGCCGCGGCGGCGTGGACAACGAGTCCTGTTCAAAATGAACAAGATCCGCTGTTTGGCATTGTACCCATTCTTTCCGTGCCCAATTCGTTCGTGCAGATGGGGAGCGACGGTTCGTGTGTGTCTGTGTGCTCATTCCCCTCCCGAGCACCGCATCCTGGGGTCGCCGGGAGCCACGTCCTGGACCTCGATCGTGAGCCGGGAGACCCGCCGCAGCTCCTGGCCGGCGGAGAGGACGACCTGCAGGTCGAAGCCCTGCACGTCCACCTCGGCGGGGGAGGGTTGGCGCGGGGACTAGCTCCTCCTCCTCCGTCCTCCTCCGTCCTCCTCCTCCTCCGCCCTCCGCCTTCCGCCCTCTCCTCCTCCTCCTCCTCCTCCTCCTCCTCCTCCTCCTCCTCCTCCGGCATCGGCGCTGCAGCGCCGATGGGTCCGCGGCAGGCCCTCGACAGCGGAGCCGTTCGTTCCCTGTCGTCGTGGGGCGCGCGGGCCCCGAGTGGTGAGGAACGGGCAGTTGGGGGTCGATGTCCCTCCCTCCCCTGGGCCAATGCCTCCCGCTGTCGGCGCCCCCGACACCTTCAGCTCCACGTCCCGGATGCTCTCCGGCAGCCGAGACAGGATCTCGGACAAGGGCATCGTCGAGACGATGTCGGCGCCCGTCTCCTCGGTGCAGCCGTCCCACGCCACGGCGTCCGCCCGGAACTGCAGCAGGCTGCTGCACTGCCCGTCGAAGAAGCGGTTAGCCCTGTGCAGGACCTGGGCGGGGGGGCAACGCCAGCATCAATGACCCGCCGCCGTGGGGAAACCATCAGCGTGTTACTGCCGAAGAAAGCTATGCATCCAGACAAAACATGATCGACCCACGAACCCGGAAAGGAATGTAGAACTGTAACACATAGCAGCGTTTTCAAAGACACCTGATTGGGTGACGGGCAAATGCAATACTGAAGGTATCGATCTTGATGTACCCTGCCGAGGGCTGTGCTGTGCTGCGCCGCGCTGAATTGCGATGTGCCATGGCGCGACTGTGCTCTATAGCCTCGTGGATCGAGTCCTCCTTTGCATCCGAGTCCTGACCGAACTGATCTGGATCTTAAGCTCGAGCTGCCTGAACACATAGTAGCTGCCCCAGAGCTAATGGACTGGGGAACATGCCAGGAGGACGCGCCGCGAAACGTCCCAAGGGATGCGCCAGGCGACGTGCCAGGGGACGTGCCATGGGGTCGCACCGCGGGACGTGCCAAGGGGACGCGCTCCGGAACGTGCCAATGGATGTGCCACGGGATGTGCCAGGGGACGCGCGACGCGACGTGCCAGGGGGACTCGCCAAAGGACGCCCCACGGAACGTGCCAAGGAACGTGCCAAGTTGCAATGCTGAGTGTATCGACCTTGATGTACCGTGCCGAACTCAGTGCTGTGCTGCGCCGTGCTGAATTGCGATGTGCCATGGCGCGATTGTGCTCTATAGCCTCGTGGATCGAGTCCTCCTTTGCATCCGAGTACTGACCGAACGGATCTGGATCTTAAGCTCGAGCTGCCTGAACACATAGTAGCTGCCCCAGAG